TTCACAATGTAAAATTATCACGTACTATTTATGACTTCCTTTTTCCAAAATCAACTCTTCCCCCTTCCTAAGAAATGGGAAGAAGAGTGTCTTATTAAATGATGCTTGGGCCTCAAAGTTAAGAGCAGGCACTTTGAGTTTTGCAGAGCTGGCTGAAGTTCTAGCTCTGCCCCTCTAATTGGAGACCTCGGACAAAGCATTTTACCTCTTAGTTTTCTCATATGTACAATGGGGATTGTAGTAGCACCTATTTTATGTAAATATTAAACAAAAGTAAAATGTCTAGCACAATGCCTGGTACATAAATATTCAAATGTCTCTCATTGAAATATTTGGGAATTGGAATGTTCTCTATTGTGCATTTAAAGCACTCAAATTCAAGACCTTGTTTTTAGTTGGATTCAATATGTATACTCATGGATTCAAAGAGAAAATAGCATTTATTGAAGAATGAGTGAGGAAACTTGAAACGTATGCTGCACCGTTTGGACAACATGCAGCACACTCAAAACTGTTGCTGTCCCTGGTAATGGACTGTAAAGATAATCTATCTAATGGGTTCTATACACATTACAGATCAGAATAATATATTGCTTCTGACTTTTAATGACCAGATCTTATATGCAAGTTAAAGACAATCTTATGGAATATTTTATATGTGAACCAGGCTCCTACTGAATTGAAAACTTTTTCGTATGTTCTATTTCAAGGAAAGGCTGCTTCAATTATGCTTGATTATTTTCTTTATAGTTTATGTAGAAAAGATTTCTCTCTGGGGGAAAAAGAAGCAAAGGCACATATCAGTGGGAAACATCAAAATAGCTGAGCAAAATTAAATGGTAAATGGAATTAGTTATAAAAGTCAGCAAATTATTCTGTTTATATCAATTATTTGCCTGTGTGATAGGCTCTTCTTGTGACATCATTACCTACTAGTGAGTGCTTATCTGGTGAGGTTTAGTTTCTTGAGCCATAAAAGTCTTTGTTTTAACAAGTCTTTAAGTGTTAAATGATTAAGCATACTTCAGATCCTATTTGAAAATAAATATAGCCTTATAAGGTCTTGATGTCTGTTTAGCTTATATAATTGATATATATTTATGAAAAGTCTTAACACTCATTTTGTTAGCAAGAATAGACCAGAGAAAATAGTGCTGGTTAATAACTTATATGTTAAAAAAGAAAAGGAAAGGAAAGGAAAAGCTTTGAGAAGCAACTGAGCATTGCAAGCATAATGGAATTTTCTTTTATGTATGGGAGAAGGAGCTGACATGAATACAGGAAAGAGGGATTATGTATTTTTGCCTAAATTATCAGGATAATTAAATTAGTCCTTTATTTCTCATTGCTATAGAAGATGATGCAATAAGTCACCAAACTACTTTAATAATTCCAACTCTGATGGTTAGGACAAACTTACTTGCCCACTCAGCTGTAGCAGAAATATTCATTGAGTTATGATGTTGGCCTGTGAGACCATCCATGTATATTGAGGACTTGGCTTAGACATAATGCAATTATAAGTCAACTGAAACTTTCCCTATTAACTTTAAAGAAATACATTAGCAAGTTATTTTTCTTGATCAAATTACTAGAAACCAGACTTGTTCCCAGAAGTGGATGGAAAATAAACAAATATATTCACTGGCACCGTTCTTCTCTTGAATCCTTCACAAGACTCTTCTTTGAGGTTAGCCAAGCAGAACAACACAGAACCAACAAAAAGTAGGGGGGGAAGGGGGGAACAGAATTAAGCCAGGGCCTGGGGCTTATTCAGTTGATATGCTGGGCTCCTGTCAATTTAGATACTGTGAGCTTGGCTTTGTCTCCTTAAAGCATTTATAAACAGAAACTTAGAGAAAGAGCCTGGCGAGCTGATACAGTTGGTAACTGTATTGGGAGCACCTTCGGATGCTTCCAGTGGCTTTTCTGCCTTCCTGGACAGTACAACCTGTGGGAAGCAAATATTGCCCAGTGTATGTCTCCCCCTCTTCCCCCCCCTCCCCCCAGAGATGCTTACAGGCCACAACTGCAGGGATTTTGACTCTGAATTCAATAGTGATAAATATCTAAAATATTAAAATGTCTCTCTGAAACATATAATGTCTCCAGCTGGGTAGTGAAGAATAAAACAACCTGCTATTAAGTTACACTGATATGGAAAAAAAAATGTTATTTGTAGTCTTGTTTTGAGGACTTTCTTGATGCTCACCCTAATCAGAACACAGATGTCTTCTATCCTTAAAGGTTATAGAAACAAAGATGTACAAAGATATAGACTTTGGGTAGACTTAAAAAAAAAAAAAAAAGTCATGTTGCTGCCATACCCATAAAATTTCTTGGATGATACCATATCTTGATACTTGATGTATAAATTAGGGAGGGGGTGTTAATGGAGAGGCAGGTGTGCATATAGAGAGATGAATAAAAATAACTGGTGGTGGTATTCTAAAAAATTGAAGTTAAAAAAATAATAGATGCATTGCATTAAAATATTCTTATTGTTATAAATGCATGATTTATAGCTTGAATTGTTAGACTATGTTGGTTTATTTAAGTAGAATTCAAGGAAAATTGCCTTATATATCTTTCAGTCATTCTTTTACTATAACTATAATAAAAACAACTGCTTTTTAATAGGTACATCTACTATGCATCTTGCTAGAAATTTCCAATTATGATTTTCCCAGGAGCAAACAAAAACAAAATTAATGGCAGCCGCATCCCCCAAAGCATAAACTATATTACTAATGAACTCTCAAAGAGAACTCTCAGTGCAAAAAATGAACAGGTGAAAATTACTGTAATAATCCAAATGTAGAAATAAAAGCAAGCATTACTAAAATGCAGAGAACAGTTTTTCTACCATGATCCCATTAACTTAAAATAGCCTGTGCACTGTGGTATTTGGACATTACTGAAATCCTTTAACTGCACAAAATTCATGTATATTTTTTAACTGAATTCTTTAATTAAAGTTGGATTATATTGGATAAAAATTACTTTGTATCTAACTCATATTTTATCTAGCTACTTTGTGTTGACAAAAGTGCTTGGTTGCATTAAAATGGGAAATTGTGATGACATATATGGTGATTTTAGCCTAGAGTAAATCACAGGCACACAGGTTTTGCATTATGTAAATAAGCTCTGTGATCCTTTTTCTTCACTTTATAGCTCTTCCAAATACTGATTTTAGTCCTTGAGGCCATGCCAGTAGGCAGATCCCACAGGATGCTAGGATAGGAAATAGTGATTTAGTAGGAGGTAGTGTTAATACTGTGGACTGACAAAATGCCTCAATTTGTGTTTATAAAAAGCTGGAAGGCTTGAATATAAGATGCAAAATGGCTTTCTTTTAGTTGCTGTTAATCCTTAAAACTAAAAACTACCAAAACCAGCAGCTCTGGTGTCTGAGAGACAGGGGTCCAGCTACAAACTTTTCATATTCTGGACAACTTATCATCCAGTTGGCCTCCATTTCCTTGTCTGTGAAATGGGAGTTATAAAGAAGCGCCTGACAGAGTTGTAAGGACAATTTAATGATAGAATAAATGAAGAGTCTTTCAAATGCCTGGAATATACAAATAAACATATTCCTCTACCTTTATCCATATGCATATTTTCTATTTTCTTTGTACCTTAAATGCTGAGACAGAAATAAAAATTGAATAAACAGCCTATGATCCAATTAGGGCAATTAGAACATCGGGCAATTAGATATATAATTAATAAATAGGGCTGAGAGCCATAGTACTAAGTACTGATAATAATTAATATTTACTGAAGAGTTAAATTTTGTGCCAGGCACTATGTTAAATGTTCTTTAAAATATTTAACTTCCAACACAATTCTATGATTTAGACCTCCTCCTCCTCCTCCTTCCTATTTTACAGATGAAATACTGAAGTTTTGAAAGACCAACACGGGTCTGATACTAACACTTGGTCTGTGTAACTCCTAACTCAGAGTTCTCTCCATTAGTAATGCTTTGGTTGGAATCAGTAAATAAATATTGGTTTCTGTGATTATTTTGATTATTATAGATATCACTCACTACTTCTAATTTTTTTTATAAGCTAATGAGCCTAATAGCCACATTTTAAACAAGCATTTGTAAGTAGTAAAATCAATTCTCTGGCTGTTTATTTTAAAACAAAACCCATTTGCTTAGCTTAGAATTGAAGAGCCCTTACAATTTGGCCTGTCCTCTCAGTCATTCTTATTTCTAGTACCATCCAAGTGAGAAGGCTTGAATGATGAGATGTGTCTCTTGTCTTCAATGTGCTTGTGGTATCAACCCACTCATGGGGGACACCGCCAGGAAGCACTGTCCATATCACTCCTCTCAGAAATACATATCTGGGTCTTGCCCTGGCTGGGTAGCTCAGTTGGTTGGAGTGTTGTCCCATGCAGCAAAAAGTTTTGGGTTCAATTCCCAGTCAGGACACATACCTAGGTTTCAGATTTGACCCCCAATCAGGTGTGTAGGAGAGGCAGGTGATTCTCTCTCTCTCTCTCTCTCTCTCTCTCCCCCCCCCCGTCCCTCCTTTCCTCTCTCTCTAAAATCAATAAAAATATATTCTTGAGTGAGGATTTAAAAAATCTTGCTTTTCTCCTGAGCCCTTTGGACATTTTTCTTGGTTGGTATAGACGAGCCGCAGTTTGCTGACCACTGTCCTAACCCGACTGTGAAATGCACAGCACACCCAAGCCCATGTGCTTCACTTAACCCCCAGACCCTGGCACTCTCCAGGGGATGCACACAGAGGCATGTACAGAGAGCTAAGGTGATGAAAGAAACGTGTTTCTGGTGCATGCCACCTCAGCAGCTCCTGGGTGGCTTTTCTTTAACTGAGTGACTCACTCACTTGGTTGACGAATCTGGCAGAGACTTTACCTGTGTTCAGAGACAGGAATGGAATAACAGGACGGTACTCATTGACGTTGGTTTGAATTCTGGTTTTCTCACCACCCGGCTTATCTGTTTTCCCTGTCAGGAGTCCCTGCTGCCAGCCTCTTTCTCAGCCGTTCGGAGTTTGGCATAACTGAAGACGGAGGGCATGAAGTCGGTCCTAGATGGCCTTGCAGACACCACCTTCCGCACCATCACCACGGACCTCCTCTACGTGGGCTCGAATGACATTCAGTACGAAGACATCAAAGGCGACATGGCATCCAAATTAGGGTACTTCCCGCAGAAATTTCCTCTAACTTCCTTCAGGGGCAGTCCCTTCCAAGAGAAGATGACTGCAGGAGACAGCCCTCAGCTGGTCCCCGCGGACCAGGTGAACATGACCGAATTTTACAACAAGTCTCTCTCCTCCTACAAGGAGAATGACAACATCCAGTGTGGGGAGAACTTCATGGACATGGAGTGCTTCATGATCCTGAACCCCAGCCAGCAGCTGGCCATCGCTGTGCTGTCCCTCACGCTGGGCACCTTCACGGTTCTGGAGAACCTGCTGGTGCTGTGTGTCATCCTGCACTCCCGCAGCCTCCGCTGCCGGCCCTCCTACCACTTCATCGGCAGCCTGGCTGTGGCAGACCTCCTGGGCAGCGTCATCTTCGTCTACAGCTTCGTGGACTTCCACGTGTTCCACCGCAAGGACAGCCCCAATGTGTTTCTGTTCAAACTGGGCGGCGTCACGGCCTCCTTCACGGCCTCGGTCGGCAGCCTGTTCCTCACGGCCATCGACAGGTACATCTCGATCCACAGGCCCCTCGCCTACAAGAGGATCGTCACCAGGCCCAAGGCCGTGGTGGCCTTCTGCCTGATGTGGACCATCGCAATTGTGATCGCCGTGCTGCCCCTCCTGGGCTGGAACTGCAAGAAGCTGCAATCCGTTTGTTCGGACATTTTCCCACTCATCGACGAGACCTACCTGATGTTCTGGATCGGGGTCACCAGCGTGCTGCTGCTGTTCATCGTGTACGCCTACATGTACATCCTCTGGAAGGCGCACAGCCACGCGGTCCGCATGATCCAGCGCGGCACCCAGAAGAGCATCATCATCCACACGTCGGAGGACGGCAAGGTGCAGGTGACCCGGCCAGACCAAACCCGCATGGACATCCGGCTGGCCAAGACCCTGGTCCTGATCCTCGTGGTTCTGATCATCTGCTGGGGCCCTCTGCTTGCCATCATGGTGTACGATCTCTTCGGGAAGATGAACAAGCTGGTGAAGACGGTGTTCGCCTTCTGCAGTATGCTGTGCCTGCTGAATTCCACCGTGAACCCCATCATCTACGCCCTGAGGAGCAAGGACCTGAGGCACGCGTTCCGGAGCATGTTCCCCTCGTGTGAAGGCACCGCGCAGCCCCTCGACAACAGCATGGGTGACTCAGACTGCCTGCACAAGCACGCCAACAACACAGCCAGCGCCCACAGGGCCACCGAGAGCTGCATCAAGAGCACCGTCAAGATCGCCAAGGTGACCATGTCTGTGTCTACCGACACGTCCGCCGAGGCTGTGTGAGCCTGACGCCCCCGGGGCAACGCAGGAAAAGAAATCCGTGTTTCTGTTTTTGTTTTTACAGCTGAAGATCTATTATAGAAGAGTCTGTCGTCTCATCGGTTATCTTTTTTTAAGTTTATCATGCTCATTGAAAAAAAAGTGATTGTTCCCATGATCGGTTGTCTGTTCGCTGATGTTTTTGGATCGTGTAGATTCTCAAACTCAGTTCTCTCCAGGGATTTACAGTGAAGAAAGCCTATTGCTTAAGTGACTGGAAGGTCCGAAGTCCCAGCGAAATAGGAGGGAAACCTTGTGCTGCACAATCTGCAGTCTAAGTACCACTGGAACAATGCCATGCAATGAGTAATGCCTTTGTAACCACCACTTTCATTATAATATAATGTGAAATGTATGTGTCCATCAGTTGCAGAGCTGTCCATTTTTACCGCAGTTATATAGTACTAAAGTAGAGCTATTTTGTAAAATGTATTGTGTCCCGTGAAATGTGTATCCGTGTTTACTGTGTGTTGTTTGTATTTGTCTAGTTCAGCAAAATTGAAAAGTAGCATTTTATGAAAACAGTGGAATATAAGCAGTGGGTACATGGCAATGAGATCACTTTTTTTTTTTTTTTAAAGAGTATTGTCCATGATATAACTCTAGAAACCTTAATATTTTTTCAAACATCTCTATTTAAAATTGACATTGGAAATAATGATAAAGATTGTTGGGTTTTTGTTTTTTTCTTCTTCTGTTAATAGAACAAGAAGAATTGGAAGACTCTCCAAAGTATTGAGCAGAAGTTAGTGACACTTAAAATTTATTAGCTCTGCATTTTCATACAAGGACATTTATGATCTTCTGGACTAAAGCTATCTCTTGGGTGATGGATTACAATTAAAGGGGGGGGGAGGCATATTGACTTTCTTGGCTGACGTCTCTGACTTTCTTTAGTCTTTAGCTATTACTGGACTTCTTAAGACAGCATGTGTCAACCTTAATGTATATTGTTATCACTGTGCAATTGCTGTTTACTTGAAGAGTATTGTATTCTTATATTCCAGGTTTAAGTAGATTTTATGCCTGGGTGGCCAAACAACAGTCTTCATTTCTTTTTCTTAATTGAAAAGAAGTATTGTCTGGATCAGTGAAATTATACTGTGTGTGAGTGTGAACATAAATGTGTGTGGTGTTTCTACCCTGTAACTGTTACCGTAATGTCATGAAGTGAGAAAACTGTGACCAAGTGTAAACTGTACCACTTGCTGCACTCTTGTACATGAATTCAGTTTCTAAAATCAAGTTCATTCAGATAATCTTGTTGATAAAAATATTGACCATGAGCATTCAGAACCCTCCCCTCTCTCCCTCACCCTACCCCTCCTTTTTAGAGGCTGGGTCAAGTATTACTAAATGGATCTTCAGGTATTTCCTAAGACCAGTGTTTAGCAAGGAAAAATCAGTAATGAGCATTTAAGTGAAGGCCTGTATTTACCGTGTTAATAGCAGGAAATGAGAGTGTTTTGGTTTCTGAGCACCTAATATGAATCAAGTCCATGGAGATGTAAGTCATTATAAGGGGCGTGGCTCTAAAAATCCTTCAGTGCTAACATTCTTTGGTTGTGCTTGTAGGGAGTGCGATCCCGGCTTCAGTAGCATCATACACAGCTTGCTGGAAGTGAGACCACCCAGGTCCAGCCCATGTGGCTAAGGAGCCTATCAGACAGTGAGCGGTGGGTGAGAACGAAAAGGGCAGTGAGGAGCTGACACACTCGTGGCAGAGGCCTGGGTGACATAGGGCTGCTCTGTGCTTCACCCAGACACCCTTGGGGACAGCCCAGCACCCAGCTGGTTTGGGTAAGGAATAAGGCCTCTTCTCCGGTCCTGGTAACCAAGATCTGCTACAGCGTAAGGATGAGCTTCCTTTCCTCCTACGCCCTGGTCCGCTACTCCTTAATGGTGCTCAGAGTCAGGCCCTTTCCCAGCAAGCTTAAGAAACTGATAATGCTTAAGAAACCACTTGACTGGCAAAAGTATAATCTCCTCCTGATTCAGACAAAGCACGGCTCCTGCAGGATCCAGAGGCCTGCGTAGCATGAAGTGAAGTGGAGAGCTAGTGTTTTTGGTGACTTTTTAGGTGTTCAGATACCTGTGCAGCCTGGCGGGGTCTTCTTGCAATGTATGGCCTGAGGCTGAACGTGGCCTGTGGACCAAGCTGAGATACTTTAATCATCTGTGTACATAGTTCACATCCACCCGCGGGTTCCCTTGCTTGATCTCTCTGTGATATGCAGACGAGGGCTCAGGTTGCTAGAGCATTAATAAGATCTCTTCAGAAGAAGGAAAAAAGATTCTTTATGAAAAAAACTCCCCAGGGTCTAGTTTTCATTTAAGAAATGCCACTCTTTTTGTCCCACATTAGCCTGAATATTAATCTACATGTCTCAGAACTCACCAGACAGTACAAACTTTTTTTCCTCACAGCTATGAAGACCTGGTAAAAGTGAAATTCTACTTACTGGTAAAAAAAAAAAAAACATAAAAAAAATCTCCAGGATTCATTTTTGAAACTGTATTTGTGTGTGTGCAATGTAGATTTTATAGTGTGTTGTACTTTCAAGATCTAAATCATATATAATTAATGAAGGGACCATGGGGCTGACAGCACTAAACTTGGTGCTCATTGATATTCTAAGAAATATCTGTGAAATATCATCATGTATGCATTATACCTCCTTTATTTTAAAGCAAATTAGTTTGATTCCCTTTGACACTTTAATATCGTTTCCTAACCAGGTTACTCAGATGTTCTCTCATGAATATACTCATTAGAGTTACCATTTACTAGTATCATGCATTAATTAGTTCCTTCATTAGACCCATTAATTTAAATATAATTTAGATTTCAGTAAATGTTTAAAGGTCCAACTTCAGAGTTGTCTACTTTCCTCTGAGAAGAATGCATTTGTCCTGACCATGCATGCTACCATCACGTGTGTCTTCAGAAAGGGCCAGCTTTCCACCTGCTCCCTTTCTCCTGAGTCATGATGAACCTTTCAGTCCTACACTGGGAGTGTCTTTTCTTTGCATGGGGCTCTTAGAGATATGGGCGGACTTGCTTATTTAGTGGCTAGTCCATGTCAGGAGTATACATACATGAGTTCTGAACCAGCTCAGACTCGCCACAGTACGCAGCGTTGTGGCTAGCAGAAGAGAAAGAGCAGTTGTTTGTGGAGAAGGAGGGCTGTTCCCAAGAACCTCTAATCTTTCATTATCTGAAATACATGTAAAAGGAGCACGGATCTGGGAAAAGCTGACGACATATTCCTACGCTTGAGATGATTCCCCAGCCTCCCCATCCATCACTTTGAGTCAAGCCTATCTGGCGTTAGGTGTCAAGGCATTTTGGCCGCCTGCACTCACCCTACCCCCACATGGGAATTAGAGCCTGGGTGAGTAGCATTCCAGTTAGTGCCCTAATGATTCATTTCTGCCATTCCATGTCTGTAAAAGAGACCACCAATATCATGCGCAAAATTAGATTTCTCACAATCTAACTGTATATTTGTATGATATTTTAAAATCTCCTAAATGCTGGGCAATGGCTATTAACAAATGTCTTGCACTGGCCTTTTGATGAAATGTTAACAATGCCTATTGTAATATAGACAAAACATTTTATCTACTGATTTGGGCTGAATGTATGTAAATAGGTCTTTAAAAAAAAGTCAAATGTTGAAGCAGTGGCCTACGAATCAGTAATTTTCAGATAGAAGAGTTTTTTTCCTTTGCTGTGGCATCCTAAAAGCTGTCTGCACGTAAATTTAGTGCACTAGGCCTGCTGGGGATTGGAGTCCCCAGGAAAGGAAACCCTTTCTTATAATAATATAAATGAAGATACTAGATCATCTGGATTCTTCCAACATTTCAAGTGGAAAACAATTCTTTATTGTCTGTAAATCTAACATTATTACTTTTCCTCTTAGAAAAATATTGTACTGTTAGATGTTTGTTGAGCTGGTAACATCCTTGCAACTGCTGCAGTTCCTTTGTTAGTAACATGTATAATATTTTGTACACAACTACCAGTAAGGTTGTTATTCACTGTAGCTTCAGTCATTAAATTACTATAGCAAAATAGTACTTCTGTAATATTTACAATGTATTAAGCCCACACTCTATTTTATTTCAGTGATATAATTACATTGTTATTTACAAAGTTGTTAATTACAAAGGAAAACATCCCCTCATGTCAATTGTCCAAAGTTACCTGGAATCAAATAAAAATTCTAGATTATCATGCAGGACATAAAATGCCTTTGTATTCTGCCTTATTTCACAGTCTGGTGTTAAAACATTCAAGATTTGAGTTCTAAAAGGTTGTTAAAAAACTGATTAACAATTCCCCAAAAGCACAACTTGATTTGAGAAATGGAGACAGATTGGATTAATATATTCATTTGTAACATAGGAAAAACATGGAAAAGCCATCATACATAAGAAGGAAGAAAGCCTGCCATGCCTTTTTAAAGCATTATTTCATCAAAGAGTTGGAGCATAGTGCAGTAAGTTAAACACATGTTCTGTTCAAATGTGTAAACCAAATTAAAATTTGGCAGATTTATTAGAACATATGTCTCAAGTATTTTATAAAATCATACATTCTGAACAAGGTGAAAGAGACTACTTTTCAATGTAGCTTGTGAAAACACAATTTTTATTTGAACAGTAAGAGAAAATAGTTTAAACACCTTATAATGAAGTAAAAAAGCATTATAATTAAGTTTATACATTATTACCATCTAAAGAATGTTTGCAGTCAATTTTGAAAGAAGACTTAATTTTCAAATAAGGAATTGGTAAATATTAAAAATCGATTATTTTTAATGGTTATAATAAAATTTTTTAATTTTCCCTTCTTTAAGGTAAATACTACAGTAACTACATAAGCTGATATGTGCCTAATGAAAAGCAGATGATGTGTTCTTAGTTCTTAAATTTTATACGGAGACTAGATGGGAATAAGATACTTCGTATCTTCACATAACATCTTGAAACTCAAAAACTAATCCCCAGTCAATAATGTGTGCTCCATCTGTAATGAAACATATATTTAGATTAGTGTTAGGAACAGAAAACCAATTAGAGTAGGATAGAAGCTCCACAGTCTCCCCATAGATAGTTCCAACTCCACTCATACCTCTAGGCTATCCTATGATCAGAGTTTCTTTTGGCTTGGAGGGGATAACATGAAGTTTTCGGCTCCACACTGTCCCTGGGATGCTGGTAAGAAAAATGGAATGTACATATCTGATTAGCTTAGAGGTAATGAAATGTGGAATGGTCATATCGCTAAACATCTCGGAAGTACCAGTCATCGAGCTACTACTGTCTTAACCATTTCAGAAGTTTTGAGGTAAGGTTAAATAATAAATATATAAGATTTTGGATATATAGGATTTTGGATACACAGTTTCCTATGACATAGCCAAAGGAAAAGAAAATGGAAGGAAGGAATAAAATATGAGATGAAAATACAATACAGTCTTGGATTAAGAGAAAAATGAGGTTCTGGGACTCTAGTATTAATTAAACACATTGCTTATTGCTTTGAACATGAGCGCTAAAATATTAGTAGAGCAAATTAATAATTTTTCTCTTAATACTAAGAAGTAAGTGACTAATGCAACACTTCAGTTAATGGTAATAATAATAATAATAGTAGGATTCCTAACATCTTTGGATAAATGTGATCCACTTGAAAATGCCCCAGGGTTCTTTATCTAGTACACAATCTTTTTTACTAATATCGGAATCATGATGAATGTCAAAGATATCCAGCTTTGCTAACAGGAGCAGCTATTGTGCTGGAAAGAACACTGGAGAAGAAATTATTAGGTTCAGAATATAGCTCTGGTTCAGTCACTTGCTGGCTGTTTGGCCTTGGACAAGTTATCACCTCTACTTTGGTTTTCTCATCGGTAAAAATGCCTACTCTGAAAATGTCATAGCATCAGATGATATAAAGTGTTTTTGAAGAGCTTTGAAAACTGTGAAGGACCATACCAATGTAAATTAGAATAAATTCATTTTCAAATAATTCATTTTATTCTAGTTTATTCAGTTAATGTCTACATCAACCCTTTAGCTAATAATCAGAAACAAAGAAGATACATTGTGTTGTGCCTACTGAGTGGCAGGCATTGATTGTACCAGTACTTTATATATAAATGTATATTATTTAATCCTTAAGCAACCCTCTGATGTATATATTATATTACTAGAGGCCCAATGCATGAAATTCGTGCAGGAGTAGGCCTTCCTTTCCCTAGCTGCTGGCTCCAGCTTCCCTCCGGCACCCAGGACCCAGGCTTCCCTTGCAGCTCCGGCTTCTTCTGGAAGGATGTTCAGTCTAATTAGCATATTACCCTTTTATTATTATAGAGACCTGGTGCATGAAATTCATGGACGGGGATGTGGGGGGGGTGGTCCTTCAGCCCAGCCTACACCCTCCCTCTTACAATCAGAACCACTAGCTCCTAACTATTCGCCTGCCTGCCTGATCACCCCTCACTGCTCACCTGCCTGCCTGATCGCCCCTTATCACCTCTGCTCACCTGCTGAATTTCCTCTCACCACTCACCTGCTTGCCTGATCACCCCTAACCACTCACCTGCCTGCCTGTTCACCCCTAACCGCCTCTGTCCATCTTCCTGATTGCCCCAAACCACTCACCTGCCTGCCTGATCACCCCTAACCACTCTGCTTGCCTGCCCGATTGCCCCTAACCACTCTGCCTGCCTCAACTCCCTTAACCACTGGCCTGCCTGCCTCTGCCTCAACCTCTGTCACCACAGCTTCGTCCAGAAGGATGTCCAGAATGAGGTCTGGAAGATTGTTCGGCTCTCTGGTCTAATTATCATATGACACTTTTATTATTATAGATACTTCATATGATAGGTGAGACAAAAGCTCAGTGAGGGAAAGACTACATAAGTAAGGTCAGAATTCAGGCCTTCTTGATCCCAAAGTCCTTATTGTTATGTACTGAGAACTTCCCATATGTTAGAAGATGCCATGATGAAGAACTTAACTTACCAGAATGCTTAGTAAAAATAATGCCCAAAGTTCCAGTGTTTTGCAGTATGCTTTCACATATGTAGGCCCAAGAAGTAAAGTATCCTGTAAAGTTCACATGGAAAGTTAGTAGTAAGCTGAGTCCCCAGAGCTCTAGTGCAGGTCCTTGGGCTCTGAACCCTGGATCTATCATGCCACATGGCAAGGAACATAGGGTGTGATGAGGTACATGGTTGTAACCAGATATTTGCATTTTCCTTCCTTCATTCTCCAGAGGGCAGCAATTCAAAAACTTTGTCAAATTCATACTGGATGTCAAAATAAATTAAATTTGTGTTCTTTATTATTTGCCTAGTATGACTCATCACTCACTTGGGTAGCTAAAACAGTGGCTGAGAAGTTCGATTTATTTTATCCCCAGAGCTAGATGCTACAAATATATTTCTGATTCCACCTACAATAGCTGCTTTTCCAGCTCTTTGGCTACTTTCTATAGCAAAGTTTTCATTTTAACTCTTTTAATTAAACAAGAAGCTTGCTTCTTATTTTTATCTTGCATGTAGAACAAAGTTTCTAGGAAACAATACTCTACTAGTCAATGAGGTACAACTTGTTAAAATTGTAAAATACAATTTAGCAAGTACTTACTTAGAACTTTTCTTTATACTTCCCACTGATAATAATAGTTAACATTTATCTCGTTTATTATGAGATTCATCATCTTTCTTAAGCCTCTCAACCAGCCTATGAAGTATTATTATTGCCACCTGACAGCCAGTAACCTGCCCAAGATCACACAACTAATAAGTGATGAGTTTGGATTTGTTCCTAGTCACTACTTTACTAAGTTGATAGCCACGAGCCAATTTCCCTTTAGCAAATCGTACTGTGCATCTATTCTGTTCAATTCAAGCAACACTTACTGAGCAGCCACCATAGGTCATCAACTGGCTTAAGATCTAATGAAAGAAGGTGAATACTTAAGCCGATAATCTCAATGCAAGACAATCAATGCTAAAATAGACGAGGCTATGGGAAACCAGAAAGGGCACAAGTAACTGCCTTAGGAAGAAGATGGGATACTGAGCTGAGTATTGAAGACCAAATAGGAGCCCGTCAGGAAAAGATAAAAGGGGGGGAATGAGGATAAACAATGTTACAGGGAGAGAGATACTGATGAAGGGGGGATGCAAGTGAGAGACAGAAAAGAGCATGATGGGTCCAGAGAATGACACAAAGTCTCCTGTGGCTGAGATGTGGTACCAACAGGAGAGTAATGAGGACGAAGACAAAACCCAGACACCAAAGGCTATAGAGCCTAAGGAAATTAGTTGTTCTTGGTGAACCTTCTTGTGATTTGCAAAAGCTTGAGCAGATTCATAATATTAGCCAAAAAGGTCAAAGTTTAGATAGTCGTTTCTTTAGTTCTACTAATTGAAAGAGATTTTTACAAAGCATCATATACATATGTAAAAGTATCACTTCCAGCTTGGCCTAGTAGAACAACCGGGGTGGGGGTGGGGCTTCATGTTCTGTTTCCTCATTAGCTGCCCCCGTATTTTCCCTCCTGATGACATTACTGTCACTGCTAAAATGAACATTATTCACTAGGAACTGAGGGACTTCAATTAGCTCCCCAAACGGTGCAGTCATCAGTCACAAAGTGTTCCTGGTCATTATTCACCGGGACTGGTCAAATCCTCTGATCTCAGGATGACAGGGACAGTATTGAGTGCCAGTCCTTGGGGCTTCAATCCTCTGCCCTCCTGCTCTCTTTGTAAACAAGATTATTGCTGCTACCACTGCCGGTTTGCCTGAAGAGATACAGAAATTCTTTAGGGAATAGAGAGATAAGGACTGAGGAAGATATTCCTTAAAAATTCTCCAAAGAAACTCAACCCTTCATGTGACTCAAGTGTAATTATTTCATTCATATTGAATAGCACAGGCTGCTTTTCAATGAGGAGTTTGAGTTTTTTAAGGCAAGGAAGAAACGGAAAGCATCTTTGAGTTGTGTTATGGGTAGGGAAGTAAAACTTCAAACTAAATTCTGGCATTAATCCTTTTCCAAATAAATTGCATATTTCACAGGTTTTTCTTTTAATAAAGATTTCACTATAGATATATTCACAAAATCTACATAAAGACATTTTCTGTCTTTTTTAAAGGAGGGGGAGCTTTGCCATACATTTTTCTTAGAGATTTTATTATTTGCATTTATAAGCCAAACAACAATT